TTTTTAATAAATCTGCAAAAATGTCAACAATTCTGTGTTTTTCTGTCAATATGGGGTGCTGTGTGTACATTAATGAGGAAAAAAAATTAACTTAAATGATTTTAGCAAATGGCTGCAATATAACAAAGAGTGAAAAATTTAAGGGTGTCTGAATACTTTCCGTACCCACTGTATATATACATATATATTTATATATATTAAATATAAAATACAAATTTTATAACTAATTAGAAATATTTAAATAAACAGACTAATGAAAATGTCAAAAGCACATATGATTACTAAGTCTTAAACTAAAATGAAAATGAAAACTGAAAATATAAAAATAATAGCCAATTCAAAATATTAATAAATGCTATCATAGAATATAAATAATACTGAAATAACACAGATTTGCAGTGCTGTAGGCTTTTCAGGCTTAGCGTTTTTTATCCACAGCGAAACATTTTCCTGCTGTTGACTCTTTTTACTGACACATTTATTGTACGAACAGGAGTGCATGCACATCACTTTTGAGCGATGGAGGATGAATTCGCTTTCTCAGCGTTGACTCAGGAAGGGGAAAAGGAATTCCTCCTTGACCTTTGCCCTCTCACCCTGCGCTATGTTGCTGATGCAATGTGTTTTGTGTGTTTTATTGAATACATAAAATACACTTTCTCTCACTAATTTACTCAGAAGCTACAGTGGAGTTGTCTCTGGACAGTCCTTGTAATGACCGCAAGAACAAAGAAGCTGTGAAACCGTCAGTATCGGCTCCTGCCGCCCCTGTAGCCAGCAGCTCCAGCAAAGCTCCGTCCAAATCCCTGGAGGAGGTAAAACACTCCCTGAACTTCTAAAGAGGTTGGGAATCGGCTGTTTAAAAAAATAAAATAAAATAAAAATACTGAAACAGAATGATGTTTGATTCCTTTAATGACCCACTTCACATGCAAATGACTCTTATGAGCTGATTCTTTTGAATGAATCAGTCAAACAGACTCATGAATCAGTCTTAAACTCATGCATTATTTATTTCTATTGATTTAAAATGTACACATACACCAAATTTATTCTATATACTACAAGAATCATTAAATAGAATCGGAATCAAAACCAGATTTGTTAAATTTCTTGCGATCTCTAGAGGTCATTAAACCTTCATACACCTCTCAGAGGAATTTCTCACTCGGTTTCCCTCTTTTTTCTGTTTCCTTTTTTCACATAAAGCTTGAGGAAGAGGAAAGTGAGGACAAGTTTGATCTGAACATTTCTATCACGAATCCAGAGAAAGTCGGTAAGATCGTCCTGCGCTATGACAGCTGCGCTTTACTTTCTAATGTCTTTTTTTCAGGCTTTTGAGGATTAATACTGTGCTCATAAAACATTCGTTTAAAATAGCATTTGAACACAGTAGTGGGCTGAGTTTGCAGAAAACGGGAAACTGTGATTATCTTATGAGGTGAAATTGTTCTATTTAAGGATCTGACGGCAGTCTGGAACTTCCTCTTTTTGCCCCGTGCCAGCTATTTTTCATTTCCTGTCCTTCTCCTTTTTAAAGGTTTGGTGTTACTATAATGTCTAAAATCAGCAGTAAATGTTATAGGGAAGATGTGTAATATTTCAGTTTGCTCACAATTACTGGCAGTTTCACTATATATGGGATATATTAAAACTATATTAAAGGGGTCATATGATGCGATTTCAAGTTTTCCTTTCTCTTTGGAGTGTTACAAGCTGTTCGTGAATAGATAAGATCCCTGAAGTTGCAAAGACTAAAGTCTCAAACCCAAAGAGATATTCTTTATAAAAGTTAAGACTCGTCCACGCCCTCCTAAAACGCCTCATTTAAACACGCCCCCACATGTCTATGTCACGATGTGGGAAGATTTGCATAACACCGCCCAAATGTTCACGTGAAGAAAGAAGGCGTAACTTTGATTCTCGCTGTAGTATTGTTGTTGCCGCCGCCATGTCGTGGAGATGCCGTGTGTTTCGTTGTGAAAGTGTCTTCCAAAAGAGGACACAATTAGAAATCAGTGGTTAAGTTGTATTTACAACACTGTTCCAGAACAGTCCAACCCAAATATTCAGATGTGTGCAGCGCATTTTACGGAGGACGAGGACTGTTTCCTGAGAGAGTAGCCTACAATGCCGGCTTTTCTGACTCACTGCCTGTAAGTACGTTTTCATATTTAAAGAATTTGCGACTGATGATTCAAACGCGAGTTTTGGGCAGTGTAGAGCAGTGCTAACATTTCATTACACCAAATACACAAAATAATGTTCTTTTTTAGCAACGTCATATGACCCCTTTAAACTATATTTAACTGTATTATGGTTTTATAGACAGTTACAGAGAAGATGTGATGAGTTTTGGTTGTTTGTGATTTAGCAGGTACTGATTATGTAGTTACAATTCCAGAAATACATTTGTTTTGGAGGATCTTGAGAATAACTGTTTAGATCCTATAATAAAAAACAGGATTTTTTTTTTGTTCTTTTGAAAAAAATAAAATAAATGTACTGTGTATTTAAAGCAAAACTCTGCGAAGAGGTTAGCCAATCATAACAGAGGTAATTTAAATACGTAATTTTTTTTTTTTTTTTTTATTTGTATAGGGCCCTATGAAACCAATTTTCCCAAATTCTGTTAATGGAAAAAGCATGTCTAATTAATTGAAATCATGAAACTTTCTAACAGTGTAATAATTATTTTTTTTTTAACAATAATAGGGCCCTATTAAATGTTTTATTTTGAATGTTTGTGTTGTTTATTTTTCTGTTTGCATTTTCTGTCTTGCTGAGATCATAGGGCTTATTTACACTAGTCTGCTGGTTTAAGCTGATCTTCTGGCCTGGAGAAACTGGTGTTTTGCTGATTTAGTCTGAAAAACTGACAACTCTTTTAAAACCAGTGAATCAGACCAGTCTTGGAGACCAGGTTTGGCCAGTTAAAGGGGACATAACACGCACAGTTTCGGCCAGTGTTAAAATTGAATATATAGTAGTGTTGCATCCTTCATATCTCCAAAGATTCTTTAGTTTTATCAGATTTGTAAAAGACGGATACAGCTTTACGCTTCTCTCCGAAAACAGCCGAGCTCCTGGAGGCTTTGTGAAACTTCGGCCATGTTTAACATGAGAATCTCTGCAAGCTGTGACATTGACATAAATAAAACAGGAACCTTTATTGACTTAAATTTTATTTAATTTGTTTATAAAACACTCGTCACCGAAATGGCGGGAACAAACAAACACACTTGCACGACTCAGTTGCTGTCCCGGAGAAACAAACTGCATCCACTTTTCCCTTAACGGTGGGTTCTTTGAGAAGCTGTTATCTTTCTCTCACAACCAAAAACACACTTCTTTGGTGACTGTTGATTTCGTGGTCTAAAAACAAAATGATAAATCCTTCTCGAGCAAGTCCTGTGCAGCGCTGCCGACGACTTTCGTAACCCGAATGAAGCACGTTGATGGGCTGCTCTTGCTCTTGCTCTCGCTCTGGTTGACGTGTGTGCGTGCACATTCTGGAGAAGTGCCCATACAAGGAATTGTGCCTTTTATGACGTAATACAGAGCCATACTCGGGGGGGAAAAAAAAAACTTTCCGAAACTTACGAACCCTGAAGGAGTGTACGGAAATACTCTGTCACACGTCCAACTCATTTTTTGAAACTTTGGCCATGTTTAACATGAGAATCCAACTCTTTAACAGTGTAAATAACTCAGAATGCATGAAATAGCACTTTTTTCAGCCAGGAGAGCAAGATCATAAAGCAACTCAGCTACTTGAAACTAAACCTGTTTGTAATATTTAAACATTTACATTAGCAGCACATATGTGTTATATGGTATGGTATGCTTTTTGAATTTTTTTGGTCTGTTGGATTTCTTTTGCTCATGCAAGGTGATTCTCTCTCTTCTCCTCACAGGTGATGGTATGAACGCTTATATGGCCTACAAAGTTTCAACACAGGTGATTTTCAGTCTCTTTACTCATCCTGTTCACAATAACACACAATACTGTATAACACACAGTCTGAATCTCACTGCTTTCTCATTGTCTACCAGACGTCTTTAACCATGTTCCGTAGCAAGACGTTTACCGTTCGCAGACGTTTCAGTGATTTCCTGGGATTGTTCGAAAAGCTCTCGGAGAAACACTCACAGAATGGATACCTCATACCTCCACCGCCAGAGAAGAGCATCCTGGGTAAGAACTTGCTTCTGCTAATGCATCACATCTGATCTGATTGTGAATAAGTGGCTGATTATGAATAAATGTGTGTGGATTTGCCAGGTATGACAAAAGTCAAAGTCGGGAAGGAGGACCCATCGTCAGCAGAGTTTGTGGAGCGGAGGAGGGCTGCTCTTGAGAGGTTTGTCAACAGTGTTTCTTATCTAGGTGCACTAAACTAAATCACCAATCTTCTCTGACTTTTGTCTTGACCAGCCACAGTTGTCAACAGTTGGGCATTACAGAACTTTTTGTCAATCATTTGGTTTCTCTTTTCATGACATTGCGCTAAGTTGCCCTGCCTCCAATGAAATCTCATTGGTCTAAAATCCCAAGTTACTGCTATTGAGTATTTTAATTTTAATGAGGACTGAAAAATTACTTGGGTATAGAATAGAATAGAAAAATACTATTGTGGAAGTAACTGATATTCATGTATATATTTTAATTCATGAGGACAGAAAAAGCTTTAATTATTAAATAATTTTTAATTAATTAAATTATTTAAATTAATTATTAAATTAAAAAGTACTTAGACTGGATCATACAATATTAACATTAATTACTACTAACATATGTTTTTTCACATTAATGAAGACAGAAAAAATACTTGGATTGAATAATATAATGTTAATAGTAATTAATATTAATAAATGACTTAAATTAAACTTCAATTGCTTAAAAAAATTACATTAAAAATATTGTATGTATTGTAATGAGGACAGAAAATTATGTAGATATAATATGTAATGTTAATTATAATTAATACTAATATATGTTTTAATTTTAATGTGGACAGATGTAATATAATGTTAGTGCTAACTAATCTTAATATATATTTTAATGTTGACAGAAATGATTTAGATTGGATAATATAATTTAATATTAATGAATTTACTACAAACATTATATTATTATAAAATACTTAGATTAGATATAGTAAATTATATTATCCAAGTAATCTAAGTATTATATATATTGATATGAATTACTACTAACATTATATGTATTTTGTCTGTCTTCATTAAAATTATATATATATTATGTCAAGTCACATTTTCATAGTGCTTTATACAATACAATATTAATAACAATTTACATTATATTAGATTATATTACATCACATTTTATTATATTATCCAATCTAAAGTTATTGATTATTTAGATTGGATAATATAATGTAATATTATGTTAGTAGTAATTATATTATATTTGTAGAACAATTTAATGCATCCTTGCCGAATAAAAGTATTAATTATTTTTATTTTTATTTTTTTTTTGTAATGAAGGCAGAAAAATGACTTTGCTTGAATAATATAATATTAGTAGTAATTAATATTAATATATATTTTTATTTTAAACAGAAAAAAATAATTTTTTCCACTGTAATATAAATGTTAGTAGTAGTAATTGTTATTGTACTTATGTCACTATATTAAAATGTAAATGTGAGGATTGTTTGTGTTGTTGCAGGTATCTTCAGAGGGTTGTGAGTCACCCGTCTCTACTGCAGGACCCTGATGTGAGAGAGTTTTTGGAGAAAGAGGAGGTAAAACGGCTTCTGTTTACTGACATAAAAATGACCATTTTTAATTATTCTGCACATGAAGCTGCACAATTTGACATTAGCATAAACCTCTCCTAAGAGAAGTGACTTGCAGATGTTTATCTGTCTATTCCTCACATGCAGAAACATCAGCTTTGCTGTTTGTAATGACAATGCAATGCTCTGTGTGTGTGTTAGTTACCCAGAGCAGTCAGCACACAGGCTCTGAGTGGAGCCGGCTTCCTTAAAATGCTAAACAAAGCCACGGATGCTGTGAGTAAGATGACCATCAAGATGAATGAACAGGATGTGGTGAGTGGAAGAACATGCAGGTCTAACCCACACTGAACTCTTCTTTACCGAGATCGAGGCTTAAAACCAACCTAGAAAGGATACGGAGTATAAAACGGTGTGTTTGTGTTTGTGTGTTGGTTTCAGTGGTTTGACGAGAAGATCCAGGATGTAGAAAATGAAGAGCAGCATTTGCGGAAACTTCACGTCATGGTGGAATCGCTTGTCAATCACAGAAAAGGTCAGAAGTGCAAACAATCAGTTCATATTTTAATAATTAGCTGAAATTTGCATCTAAATTTGGATATTTATTCTTTAAAAATGTAGTGCGGCCCATTTTATTTCTGTAATGTGGCTATTGAGTGAAACACAATATTCATTAAAACAAAATAGTATGTGGCTTTATTTTATCCACCATAAATTGATTGGATGATGAAAATATGTGATGCTGTCATTGGTTTGATGGTATAATGTGTGTTTCAGAGTTGTCTGGGAACACGGCTGTGTTTGCGAAGAGCGTGGCAATGTTGGGCAGCTCGGAGGACAACACGGCTCTGTCGCGAGCTCTGTCTCAGCTGGCCGAGGTGGAAGATCGAATCGAGCAGCTCCATCAGGAACAGGCCTCCAACGACTTCTTCACCTTCTCAGAGCTGCTGGCGGATTATATACGTCTGCTGGGAGCCGTCAGGGTACAGACACACACACACACACACACACACACACACACACAGACAGAGAAGAAAACTGCTTCAGATGTCACTCATCCAGTCATAGTTATTGTGTTATTATTAAGAATGAACTGGATTGTCCATAATATATATATATAAAAAATATATATATTTTTTATTATTATTATTATTACAGACATATTTGAAAAATTAAAATAAAATAAAAAAAATTGCAATTACAAACAATAATTGTTTTTTTTTTGTTTTTTTTACATTTTTAGCAATAATAATA